TTTCAAAACAGAGCCAAGGCTATGTTACCAACCCTTTCTGTTGTTGCCTGAGGTGAAACTATTCACCAGGGTAGCAGTAGAACATTGTTCTTATTGAACCCTGTCCTCAGGAAGGGGTTTTGTCTCTGTCTCCTCTGAGGAAAGTGCTAAACCATAGGCCATGCTTGGGTGGGCACACTCTGGATCTCTCTTATTGTGTCAGTCTGTCCAGCCAAGAATGAAGAACTTGTGGGGTGAAGAGAGAGCCAGCAAGGGGATGCAAGCCTGAGTAGTTCACACTGTAATAAAATCACTGCCTTAAGGGGGGATGAAGGGTTTCTTGTTTTCTGGTCTCTGCTACAAGAGATACTTATACATGAGTCATTAGATAAAAATGCATAACAGCACTGAGAACAGGGACTGGACTGGAGTAGGCTATCCCACTCTCTCCAACTACACACTCAAGTTATTCATGTTTGCATTAGGAATGTCAAAGCTATTAAGAAATGCTCTTATGTATTTCAATGTGCCAACATCCTGAAGGGTTTTCAGCTTGGCAAAAATGCTAGCAGGGGAAATGTGGGCCCAAGAGGTTTTCCTGGCATAAATAAACACAGGATTATCATAAATTCATAAATTTTTTTCCTCTCCCCAGTCCGGAAGAGGCTATTTTTAAATGTGGAAATTGAATAGAAGTAATCCTGAATTATCTTAATTGTTTGAACTCTGTAGTCCCAGTGAAAGGGTTGTGTCAGTGACAGGGATGTTGGTAATCCACTTGCAAGGCCAGGTTGTACATGTGAGTATTAATAACTGCACTTCATTATTAATAACTGCAGAGATTTTGGTATAATACTGATATGTTGATAATTATGAATAATATTGATAATAAGAAATAATCAAGTAAGAGCTGATGAGATTTTGATGCCCATGAATTATGTGGCCATTAGGAGCTCACCTGCTGAGTGTACTAATCAATAGCTAATCAAAACAGTTGGAAAATGGTTGGAAATTAATATGTAGAGTAGCTAAAGGCATAATTTAAAGGGTGACTTAAGGGCTTCAAGCATTTTTCAAGGTGACTTCATTATGCACATCATTTTTCCAGGGTGTTTTAGCAATGTCAAAAAGGCTGTGATTACAGAAGTGGATAATGAACAGCTAGCAAGGAGATTTTGGGTGGGTTCCTTGCATCTAGGATAAGATCTCTGTCTTGGATCCTGCTGGAACAAGCCAGAAAATGCTGACAGCATCCTTCAAAAATGGTAGAATTGGTTGGCCTGCTACCTTTTGCCAGATGGTGCTGTTGTTTTGGTGTGCCATACATGAAAACAACCCCAACAATTACAAAATCTCACAGTAGAATCCAGGGCTGATCAAGAGAGACAGAAGGAGCCTACAGGCCAGAATTTCTATGCCAAAGGGAGAGAGATCTAAATATTGTTCTCCTACCTCATGACAAGAGACCATTTGGACACTAGCAATAGACATGAGATCTCACTTGTGCAGGCTGGCACTAAGCCATTCAATACAAACCACATTGAAATAGGACCTCCCTTATAAGACCATCTCAGATGGAGAGCATTCAAACCTGCACTTTTCCAGAGAAGCCTCCTTGCCACCAGAATATCAGTCAGGACAACAGCCTTCTCACATCTCTGCTGCTACAAATCACCAGCTGTAAAAGACAATCTGAGGCTGTGAGGAGCAGCAAAGTTATAGGGAAAAGTGATTTGACTCTGGAACTCTCTATGTTGTTTGTACTTCATTCTTGCTAAGTAAAAGTCATGAAACCCCACACCTTTCCATACTTACTCCTTGCTTCCTGTTTTGCATCACCAAGATGATGCTTTGCTCCTTTCTGAGTGACAGCATTGGCTCAACAGGCTGTGGATGCAGCAGCAGCAGGGGCCAGCCTTGTTTGGGCACATGAGGGACCAGGGACAAGGGGAGGAAATCCAGGACACAGGAAAAGCGTTTTACAAATGGATTTGTGTTGATTCCCACACTTAAAATGCTGATGCGCATTCCCTTACATGCACTCCAGTGCAATGGACTTGCTGGTGTTGTGGGTGCAGCTACAGGGCACTGATGCTCTAGGGCTGGAAGCTTTTTTATCTGATTAATTTGACAAATGTGCTCCTGCTGTTGCTGAACCTGGAGCACAGGCTGGAGTCTGCAAAGACACCCTGTGAGACCTGTGAAACCAGCTGCTCTGCTCTACAGCTGTGCAATCCTGTGGTATCACCATGTATCCACAAAGGACTGGAGCTTTTGGCCTTGCAGGAGAGATGTCTTGGGCAGTCCAGTAAAGGCTTTTTCTGTGCTTTTTCTGTGCTTTTTCTGTGGTTTTTCTGTGCTGTTTCTAGTTGTCTTTCAGCAGGTACATATCCTTTGACTCCTGGCCTCTTGCTCCCCTGCTGATCTGGTTTCTCCCCTTTCATATTTTTCCTCTGCTCCTATTCTGGCTTTTTTTGTATTCCCTCCTCTTCCCCCAGTCTAACCTCACCAAATGTGCTCAATGGTGTATGAACTATTAGAGATTTCAGCTGGAGTTTGGGGACAGTTGTGGAAATGGTCTCATGCTCTGCCTTCCTCCTCCTTCTATGTCTGAGTCTGAATCCTGCAGATCAACAGCATTTTTGCAATTTTCTCTAGGTACCTGTAAATTAGCAGAAACACAGATTACAAGCCAGGCTGGCACCTACAGCCACAAAGAGCCTCTGGGCAGGTGTCTGGCACACCTGTGGCTGTGGGTATCTCTGGGAATGCAACAGGGCTGCATGGCACTGCTGCCTCTCTGTGGAGCAAAACCCAAGCACTGTCAGCAGTGAGGAGTCTCAGTCCATCATGGTTACTAAAGTGGATTTTGTGCTACACTTAGAACCTTTCAAAACAGTGTGCTAGCTTTGGTTAGCCCAGCCTGGCTTTATCCAGCTGGTACAGGACTTTGCACTAAACAACTTCATCTATTTCTGCAGCTACAGCATGCGCTTCTATCTGGAAGCAAAATATTTACTTATTTGCTTTTAATTATTTATGGAAATGAAATAGCATCCATATCTCAAATTTTTCCATGAAAATGAATACTCCTGTAGTTCAAATCTGTGGCCATGAAAGAAAGCACAGTTCCCCAGTGTTGCTTATATTGTTTATTTGTTTTTAACTTCAAAACACAGATGATTTTCTCAAAACAAATAGAGTAATGGAGGGAATGGAGTTGGGCTCTCTTAGTAACTTTCCCAAGAAACACATCTGGAAGAGCATATTTTTGCAAAACAACTACATTTCAGCACACCCAGAGAGCAAGATTTCAAAAGTTCATAAAGAGCAGAGGTTAGCGAAAAGTGTTGCTGGCTTTTTCTTTTTATTTTTTCCCTGTTTAGGTTGCAAATGGCACTAAATGAACCCACAATTTCCATGGCTAACACAGAGATATTTTAAAAGAAGTCTTTGAGTATGCAGTTAATTTACAAGATGGGGAATTATGAAAACACTCTCTCATTTTGATTCTGTAAAATAAACTTGGTGATATAACTCGATGGATATTGTAACATCTGGTAGTCTGGCAACTGATTTAGGCCTACAGTATAGCTGTTTAAATCATTATCATTAATTGCTACTTAGTTGGATTTTAAAAAAGTCACTTTTTACCCATAGGTAGGTAACAAAATTTTCTTTAGAAGTAAAAGTGGAGTGTTGAATTCTATTTTGTAAATAGCTCTGATGCTACCCCTCATCAGTACTCTTAAAACCTAAGTCAGTTTTGGTTTCATTACCTGTACATATCTTGGTCCACCTTCAGAGGAAGGTAGAAAAACAATCAGTTTGGAGACAGATCAGTAAAATCAAATTAGCTTTCCTGAATCAGAATGCCACAGCCAGGCCCTGCTCACCAGGAAGGTCAGTGGGGATGGGAATAATTCTGCAAACCAATGAAGAAAATGTGAAGCCATTGCTCAGACTTACAGTAACTAGAAAATACCAGACTAGTATTTTCAATGTATTACAACTCCTAGTCCTTGCATAGACACACACAGAGTCAGGCACAGGCCACCAGAGGATGGCCTATGAAGACAGGCAGAGAGCTGGAGCTTGTTACTCTGGAGAAGGCTTTGGGGAAACCTCACAGCAGCCTTCCAGAACGAAAGGGGAGCCTATAAGAAAGATGGAGAGGGACTTTTTACAAGTGATAGGACAAGGGGGAAACACTTTAAACTGGAAAACTGTAGGTTTAGATCAGATATTAGGAAGAAATTCTTCACTAAAATTCTTCACACTGCAACAGGTTGCCCAGGGAACTGTGGGTTCTCCATCCATGGAAGCATTCAAGGCCAGGCAGGAAGGGGCTCTGAGCGACCTGGCCTAGTGGAAGGTGTACCTGCCTATGGCACGGGGGTTGGAATGAGGAAATGTATAAGGTTCCTTCCAATACAAAGTATTCTCTGATCCTGTGATCAGACACACTCCCATGAGGTGCCTGTGAGGTCCGGGAGCCCTATAATGGGCACACCTGCAGGGGGTAGAAGGCTTTTTCCACCACCTTGCAGCCTTTGGAGCTGTAGCAGCTCCACAGCAATCTCAGCAGGGCCAGTCTTCTCCTACAGCCATGGCTGTGAAGTACCACAGAGTTAAAACAATCACCTATGTCTGTGACTGTTAAAGAGCAAAAGACATTCTTGGAACTGTAGTCCAGAATTGATAACATTTGGATAGGAAATGATTAGTTAATTTTCCTAGCTAATGCCTGCTCTCCTGAAGTCAGTCTTTCTTTTCCTGCATGCATGTGAAATTAAGTGTTTCTGGCACTGGGTGTGCTGCCCACATTTTAATGTTCTTTGGAGCATTTTGTACCTACATAGAAGGAAAATATCCTTTTACCATCTGATTTGCTTGAGTTGTATAGTCATCAGTGGTACAGCAAGAAACAGATGGAATGGGAATTAGTAAATTACTCAAGTGCTGCTCTGTAGACGGTCTTCCTGAACACAAAGTGTGTGTGCATTAAACAGCCACAAAACTTACAATCTATCACATTCAATATTGGGGTTATTGGATGGTGTATCAAAAATACCAAAATACACTTCCCTGTTTGCTGGAGGTGGGGTGTTGGTTGGGCTTCCCACCCCAGAATCAGGACTTGGTGCAGGGTGCATTTCTGGTGCATACTTCTCTTCTTTCTGAGAAGGCTGTGGCTGCTTTGGTTTGAGGTTTTTGAAACGTTTGAGCTTCACAGGGTCCTTGGCTTCCTTGGCACAATGGAACAAGATGAAAATGTCCCTTCGAAATTTAGAGCTCATTCCAAAGTAGATAATGGGGTTGTAGAAGCTGGCAGACTTAGCAAACAAACTGGCAAGGATGCTGGTGAGGTTGGGCACAGGGTGACCATAGGCAGACCATATAGAGATGACAGCATAGGGTGACCAGGCAATAATGAAGGCTGTGCAAATGACAATAGAGACCTAAAAGACAGAAGAAGAATAACGTTAAATCTATTTTGGAAGATAACATTAGGGGAGCAAAACACTGAGAATAGTAACTTGAACACTTGCTGGAAGGGAAAGGTCTGGATTGCCCTGAAGTTATGGCTTATAGGAGAATATGAACAAAGAAATAGTTTGCTTTGACGAAGCCAGGAAGACCTAGGAGCTATGTATTGAATTTTGTCATGGTGGTGTGGTTAAGAAATGCCTCATCTAACAGAATGAAAATAGCTGCATTCCCATATGTTTATATGAATACAGAGGGTTTCAGGTAGACTTAACTAAACAGTGAGTAAACTGAAATCTGCACTCTAAACTGCACTCTAAATTCTGAGTATGCTCAGGAGTAGTGTAACTTCTGAAAGAAAAGAGCATATGCCAAACCATATTTTTGGGGTTTGTGCTGTAAAACGAGCTCCAATTATATTTAGATTATTTTTCAAATGTGATGTAGCACCAATATTAACCAACTGATGCAGTAGAAATTTTAACAAACTGCATATTCTTCACTGACTTCAGACTCTGTCACTAGAGTTATAAAGAAATGAAATGCAATTGATTGGTTTTATTCTCTTCTGTTCTAGCTGAGATCAATTTTTGGAAAGACAGATTTCATTGACATGAATCCCACCCGGTATGAAACCCAAACTCACCCTGGTGACGTCCCGCTCTATTCTCCTCTGTCTGTCTGTGGGATCACCCAGTCCTGTCAATGCATGGCTTAGTTTGACCGTGTTGATGATGGACACATATGAGAAGACCATGACTGAGACAGGCAGGAAAAAGCAGCAGATAAAAATGGAGATGATGTAGGACTTGTAGATTGTAGAGAAGTTGGCTTTTGCCCAGTCTATCTCACATGTGCCATACATGCGATCTGGAAAGCAAGAATAAGAAGTTGGTTAGCATTTTTAGAATATTGATCTGCTTTTGAGCAATAATTTATTAGTTAAAATGCTGTATTTTTCTTCTGTCAAGCACTACAGAATGGATCTTTCTGATTTAATGAGACATGACATTACTTCCTACATAAACAATTTTTCAAGACCATTTAGACTGTAACAAATTTTAATGTGTATTATCATTCTGTTGAGTTTGTAACTGCCAGAGTAAATCCATAATGCACAAACTGTTGTTTCAGGATAGGAAACTGTGACACTTTATTAAAAAAATAATTTATATCCTTGAGTGATATGTACTCTTATTTGTCTTAATACTCTACATAGTAACTTCCTAAGATGAGCTCTGTTACAGCATTACAAGAAATTCATTGACAGCATGCCAAATGTAAAAAGTCACTACTTACATAACTAAGCAGGAAATAAAAAAATCGAGGCTTCTTGAGGTAATGGATGTTCTCTCTGCAGTGAGAGCCATGAGACTAAATTGATACAGCTAATGATAAAGATTATGAGAAGACAAAACATATAAATACTTAGAAAGATATGAGACCTTTCAATAAATGGGAAACACACAGTCCTGCAACACAGAGATGCAGGTTTTTAAAATGAAGTCAGGCAGATTGCAGGGTCTACCACTTGTGAGACAAGAGCTGACCAGGGGCTTAAGGAAAAGGCAGTGGGAATAATGTGTAGTCTCTGGCTCAAACACTTTTATGAATTACAGTTGACTTCTTTAGGTCTCCTGATGTGTTTGCAAAGATGACCTCATAGAAAACTTGAATTCTATAACCTTAGAGGTTTTTCTATAGATTGTGAATTGTGAATTTTTCTTTTTAAGTGGAAAAAGCTGTGGCAGCAAATAGAATTACAAATATATAAAGCATGAATCAAAATTAGGAAAGTCAAGTATTAACAGGTCCCAGAGATACAATACAGGTGAAGACTACATGGTTTAGCAGCAGATATCTCCTTAATATCCAGTGGTAATTTTGAAGAAAACAAATTCCCTTAATTCCTCATAGGTAATAGGAGATTTAAACAGGAGGAATTAAATGAGCAAAACGTCAAAATCTCTTTCATGATTCTCATCAAAAAGAGCTCAGTATTTTTATCACCAAAATCTCTAGATGTTGCTGTCTGAATGTGTTCTGTAATAGAAATAGATTTTTCTCTCCTTTGCCTTTTCCGTCAGTAGACCTCAAGATTCAAAAATATAGCCATAAAATCTGGCTTAATTCTGGGTTTCTGCTTTTGAAAACTTTTGCCTGAAAAATGAAACCAGCCTTCAGATGACAGGAGAAGAAAATCCAGCAGATTTTCCGCAAGTCAGAATTCAGAGCTATTCCCCCTCCACTGGGACAAACAAAGTGGCTTTCCCAAAAACTGGTGGGGTCCTGGGGGCCCCTGAAGATATTGTGTAGTTGTGAAAGGCTGAGGCAGCCAGCTGTAACGTGCTGTGCTCTGCTGGTGCCTGCTGCTGGACTTGCTGCTGCTGGGCTCCCACATCTCTGTGGGTGCCCTCACTGGACGTGTGTTCAGAGACAGCCCTGGAACCCTGAATTGCTGTGAGTCTCAGTAGGGGAAAGCACTCCTAGAAGCAGTCTTGAAAACCACTGCCAAGGAATTGATTTCAAACAGGGTCCATGGAGGAACTTGAATGTCCTGACAAAGTAGTGTTGCCCAAAAAGTCCCTGGCTCCAGTTTAAGGCCAAAACCAGACATCAGAAGTACCCCTATAAATGAAGAGCTGGCGGATTAATGTAAAAAGAAAATAGATCACCAGAAGATACACAGAAAATTACCAGTCAAAACCAACCAAGTTTATGACAGTCCAGAATGCAAAAATATGACGCAGAATTCACACAGTCTAATAAACAGTGTGAATTAGTCTCAAACCAAAGGTCCATTGAGTCAAATATCTTGGGAGTATTTTGTTTTGTGAAGGATAGAACATTTAACCAACCATAGGATGGCTGCTTTTCTCACACCCATACTTCAAGGGTCCAGAGATATCTCAAAGCTTACACATTTAGTAAATAAGAGAATATATACACATAGCTGCTTCAGTAAGTCTCCACAAATTTCATGACTTCTCAAAGAATGCAGAGGCCTACGGAATCCAGACGGGTAACTGCTGGACAATGTCAGTCACATGATTTCAGTTGTTGGGACTTCTGTATCATTACCATTTGTTCCTAGATATTTGGTTTGTCCAATTCTTACAGGCTTAAATTGAGGCAATTTCTCCCTCTTTCCCCCTTGAAGAAATTTTCTGGTCTGTCACATGCCTTAGGCACTGAATTTCTACAGAGTTCACTACACAAATTTTTTCCTTTTTTCCCTCACCCTCCCTTTTTGATATGGCCTTATCTTGCACCCTAATTCTTTCTTGGACTCAAAAACTTTCCAACACTTCAAGTTCCTTTGCTACGTAAATTTTCATATTTTCAACAAATTGTTTTGCCAGATCTTTCTGGCTTGTCTTATTATAGTTTCAAGTTTAACTTGCTGGAACTTGTGTTCTTTGCTAGTTTCCTAAACTTGACAGTTTTTGAAGGATATCTTTTGATAGTTTTCTTTATCTCACTCTTTAACCATGCCAAGTATTTCTGGCCTCTCTTTTTCCACAGGCAATATGCACTTGGTCCAAGTCTTTCCTGTGATATCTTAAAAAAAAATCTCTTTATAGCTGATACCAAAGCAGGCAATGCTCTGCACCTATGTCACGCACAATGAATGATTTCCTCAGTTCCACTGATAATCGGTCTGGTTTATCACAAACAGCAAGGAAGAAAGGTAAGTTTATCTTTGTCAAGTGGAGAGGTGCCAGGTAAGTACAACTGAGAGATACCTGTTACCTGTATAACTGCCCCAGCCGAGCAATGGAGCTGCAGACCAGAAGAAAGCGGCCACCCAAATGAGAACCAGAGCCACCGACATGCTGCTGTTGCTGATGCAGTGACCTGCAATGGGCATGCCTGGGTCAGAAAATAGTACTTGGAAAGGCAAACATATCTCTGAAATCCAAATGTACTCCTATACCACCAGCTAATAAGTAAAACAGCTATTAAAAAATTAAGGTAGAAAAATGTATATTCATAAGAAAAGCTTGATTTTGAAAGCATCTGTCAGTCTTGTGTTCGCACTGAAGAGTGGAAATGAATGTTTTTTAAGCAGGAGACAATGAATTTGTTGAGAGCTCTGGCACTGGTGAATTTTGTGTTAGACTAATGCTTTGTAATTTTGTAAAATGCAGGATGCAGTTGTATTTTACATACAAATTAACAAGATAAATCTAAATTCAGGGGATTTTCTTACTGACATCTAGGTTTTTTCCTGTTAAAAAGGAGAAACTAGTCCAGCCTGTATTCACCATTTGATACAAAAGGTTCAATCTATCCTGCTGTTGCCATACACTGTGGTTATTTTTTCATTTATGTGGGAAATATTTATGCATCCACCAATGTTTGTTCCTCAACATTTCTGTAACATTATACTGAGTACTTGCTCAAATTGAGATTCATACATAAATTATGCACACCGTCAGATGGATAAGTGGTAGAGCTTCACAAAAGAGAACTGTGGGTTTTGAATATGACTTCTTAACAGGGAATGAATAGAAGATGTAGGATTACATCACAGCAAAACTCTATCAGCTCCAGCAGCAGTTCATGCTGAAAGTTAGCTTCAACAAGTCTATCATTGCACCCAACTGCGGAAGAAATTTCTGTGGAAAAAATTACCACCCTGCAGAAGTTCTTATCACAGCAAATGCTCCTTGTGCTAGTAAAGAGAAAAACTCATCTGATGCAGCCCATGTACTTGCACATGCTTTCCCTGCAGACATTGATAGGCTCCTGCCCGAAAGGTGGTGCAAGCAACTTGCAACAAAGGCATGAAAATTGATCTGATCCCTGACCAGAAACTTCTCAAACTTCATCTCATAGAAGAGTGAATATTTTTCAGTGAGATCCAGACCAGGATGTATAACTTAGGAGCTTGTATAACTTATCATTTGAGTGACATTTTGAGGAGTACAGAGGGTCAGCAGTATACCTGGGGTATCTTTGGCACAAGGGTGAATTTACCCATGGTGACCCAAGCACACTTGTAATAACTTGGCTTTTACTGGAGTTAACCCTGAAGGATTCTATGAGAACATGTTTGTAATGTAAATGACTGTATTATGTTCTGGTTTTCAATGTGTTTAATTTATATTTAGTATAGCCTGCCTGACTGATAATAGTGACTGAGAGAAGTACGGATTTGCACCAGGTTCAGTGAAGGCAGAACTGGACTTGCCTTTATTCCTTACCTCTCTCAGGATGGCAGCCCTTGATATAGCGTGTCACACTGATCACTGTAAGGGTATTAATGCTAGCCAGGCCAAAGAGAAGTGTCAGGAAGCCATCAACCTGAAAAACAAAGCAGTACAGGATGTACTGTTACTGCAGAGAGTTGAGGGGGAAAAGAACCACAGGAATTTCTCCTGTCATTTTCATGTTAATGAACTTGAAAGTTTTTCCAGAAACCCAACTATCAGGGAAATGTAAAATGTCAGGTGCAGTTATCTTCTATAGGATCAGTGAGCAAGTAAATGTTCAAAAATTATATAAGTGGTCTGTCATGTACATACAATAAGCAAGCAAGCACACCCTTACATCTTCCCTTAAATGACTTGTTAAATGAAGGAGAAAAACTTTTAACTGGAAAGAAGAAAAGCCCTGAACATGCAAAAATGCCTGGATGCAGCTGCCCTGCTTGTACAGAACAAACATGCAAACTGATCCTAAGAAATTTAGGCCAAATATGGAAGAACTAGGAGGTTCTCACTCAGGCTGGGCTGAGTGAGAAAAATTTTTTTTCTTTTTTTTAATAGACCCCAAAACCTAAATAGATGCAGTAGATTGAGTCTCAATGGCTGGTGTTGCTGGGTGCCTGCTATTTCTGAAGCCCTGATCCTCATCCCCTGGCTGTGACGCAGGCAGAGCCGTGCAGCTCTGTGGCTCCTGGTGACATCAGTGCCTCAGCCATGTCCTGGGGTGGCCACAGCTCTGTGAGCCTTATAACCAGGTATAACCAGGAAGTTCTGTCACCTATAGCAGACACGGATGCAGCCATCTGCTAGGGAGCACTCTGTGGCTGGGAAATGATCCAGGCAAAATGCTGACAGCCAGTCCCTTAGTTTTTTGGAATCTTGCAACAATATATTAAACTGTCCAGAGCAGAGGAGCTCTTGGAGGTGCCAGTTTTACACCTAGTGAAGCAAGAATATTAAGCGTCTCTGGACAGTAACTTGGCATTAAAATACTGAAAGTTTTGGCAGAAAGGCACATCATTATTCTACGGAACAAACTCTGCCTTTGTATGAATGGGCACAACTCCTGTGGAATTCTGTTTATGCCAGCACAGAATCTGGGGCTTTATCCAGGCTTAAATCTAAGATCCTGGCAGATTGTATAAATTTGGTGAAGGGTTAGAAAAGGGACAACTTCATCACTTCTTTCACTGGTGCTTTTCCTTACTACCAGTGTCCTCATATTGATACTAAATACTTCTTTTTGCCATCTTTTACAGACCCACCACATTTTAAACACATGCAAGGCTTGCTACTACACAATCTACACTCTGATTAGAGTCAGCTCATGCTTAGTGTAGGAATGCAACCATGTTTAAAACAGACTTTTTTGGAAGTCTCAGCTACTTGCTAGAAGCTGCACTTGACTGAATTTGGCCTGCTGTGTGCTGTGGATGTTGGTGAAATACCTGGATATGTAAATGTGCTCTGCATTTCATTATCCTTACTGGTGCAAACAGCTGCCACCTCTCCATTTGCTCTAACAATGCTTCATAGATGCGGAAAACACAATGACCATAATCTTAAGGAATTGCACTAGTTATTAGATTAGAAAGGAAGCAGTATTTCAACAAGAATGCAAATGAACACTTTGAAATTAAGCCTAAAGAGCTATGAGATTGAATACTAAAAGAGCAGAACAGCCTTCTCACTGTGTATCATAGGCCTATGTTAAAAGCAGGGGAGTTTTTCTGAAATAGATCTGTTTGTTTTATCACTGGCAGATGTGGCCATTTTTCTCCTACCCTCCTTCCCTGATGTCAGACCAAAGAGAGACAATTATATCAAGTGGTCATTTCAAACAGCATTTGAGCACATCTACAAGGGAGGAAGGTGGGTCTAAAAATACACTCTTGGCCTTTAAGATGCTGTCATCATAAGAAAGAAAAGCCTAAATGTTTTCTTTGGAGTGGTGCCTTGCTAAAAAAATGTGGTTTTACGTAAATCAACATAGTTCATAGGATTGAGCCATTGTCAGTACCAGATCTTGTTTGCTTACTATTTCATACCAGCATTTCATCAGACCTTCTGCAGGTGTGGGGGCTACCACCAGAGATGTTACCAGGGCCAAATGGCTTGTAAGTGGCTAAGTGGCAGCAGCAGCCTCCCAAGGCAGCTGTCACTGCTTCCATGCTGGCCACAGGCTTGGTGGCTTGGGAACAGTGACAGTGGGAAACATTATGAAGCAGAGGGAGCTCTGGATGAAATGAATAAAGGAGGTAAATGGTGGCTCTCAAACTGCAGAACAGCCCATACAGCAGCCACAGCATCTGGAACATTTAACCACGAGAGACCATCCAACAGGCTGCTTTGGGAGCATGATGCTCAGACCACTCTTGTCCCAAACTTTTATTGGCAGCAAGTGGCTTTTGAGCCCTACTATGCATAAACCATTTCCCAGCAAGTTTGTCAATGCTGCAACCCTTTTATGTCATTGTCACTTAGACATATGTCCTCAGAAGAAAACAAGTGATCTTCCTCTAGATATAGCCAATTTACTTTAAGCTTACACCTACTAGATTTGGAAGAAACATCTCTGCTACTTTTTCTGCTCTTGAACAGACAGCACTGACTGTAGGTAGTAAGGCAACTGCTAGGCACCCAAGTAAATAACAACAGAAAAACTGCTTTAACATAGTCCCAATTTCTATAGACAGAGATTAATAGCTGCATGTTACAAAAATATGTGATAATTTCAGTTTTCTGCATCTTTAAACATATATGGAATGACAGCCAAGGAAATACTAGAATAGAAAATAACATTTCATTACTTTGGAAGAAGATTGATGCTCTTCCCCTTACACAGTTCTGGTTTTTCTTTTATTCTACCCCCCAGCCAGCTCCTTCCTTCCATAGCCATAATACTTCTTCCATTTCTGTTTAATGCAATTTTTTCCTTCCTATTATTGTGATCAAATAGCAGCAGTGTTAACAGGCAGTAATGAATTCTGACATAAACACAAAGTTGATTGCACGGTAATTTTAATACACCAGCTTTCCCTTTTACCCATTAAGAAGCAGAAGTAGATTAGCAATTTTAAAAGCTTCTCTCAGTGCCCTACCAGCATTACTCCCTTGGCTATATAGATATGCATGGAAGGTGCTCATTATCTTTATGCTGCCTGGAAGCTAAGACACAACTGAGGAAAAAATTGTGGTTTTTTTCTGCTTTGCACTTGTGCCTGACTTTAAATCTCACTAATGCTCTTGGAGCACTATTTACAACCCACAATACATAGAGCTCCTACTGCATGCAAATTCATTTGCTTCAACACAGAGAGAGTTAGGAATCCCCAGTGCACTATGAAATTTTTAGCTGTGAGCTTGGGTGTGCCTCACTTTTGCTAACTTTAATTCTTATGAATCCCTACTGATTCATAAGGGTTGTCTTCATTTAAAGCACAGTAAAATATAACCTATTGTTCATAATATTGGATTAATCAAGGTTTAATTGCACAAAAGCAGATTGCCAAAATAGCTATTACTTTTCACTTTGGAACAAAACATTGATCTCACCAGCCACAAAGGCTGCCTCACTCCCTCCTCTGGCCAACTGATAAATCTGTTGCAATTTCCCAAAATCCATTTGTTTCCCTTCAGAACCATGGCATCCTGTATTTTTCTTCTATTGAAAATGAGATAGCGAATATGTAAAGAAAAGCATAAACTTCAAACAGGGATTATTTGCCCACAGCATATACTTAAAGTTGCCACAACAAGCTGTCTCAGAATTACTAATTTTTAAATACAAATCAGATTATTTTGAATAATTAGATAATGGCAATAAACCTCATTCAACATCAAGAAATGAAAAAGCACTTAAATCAATCTTCAAGAAACACATTTGTAAAAGCAAATGTAGATACCTTGGAATAGATATTTTAAAATTAAAAACTTAATTTTAAATTTAACAATTTCTTAAAGTTTGAAGTAAATGCAAAAATGTTCCACTTGAGTCTGATGACAAAGTAATTCTCCCATCTCTCAGATATACTATGATGTGTCTACTGGACTACACTAACTCTTTAGTCACAGATGTTCTAGAAGGACTACTGAGTTCAATAATCAAAATTAGTCTTCACAAAAGACTACTTAAAACCCACAATGCATAGTGTTCCTAAAGCACTCAGTTTCTTTGAGATTTTCTACAATACAGGAGGTGAAAGAGACTTACCATTTACTACAGTTCCCACATCTTTTGCTCATGAGACATTTTTCTGGTATGTTTGCATCCTGCCTTTTAAAATGTCTCAGTAGGCTTCAAGGATAGCTATGCTTAGAGGTGATGGCATCAGCCCAAGTCATTGGAGGGCACTAACACCTCTATGTATAAGTAAACAATGAGAATTGATATGCTACAGGATTAGAGAGTTTAAACCATTAAGTGAGAGCATCAGACATTCAGTGTTTTGCATTCACAAAGTGATTAAATCTTTCTGTGGCTGGCATGTATTCTAAAGATAGAAAAATATGAATGCAGTATTTAGACTATACTGTGTCCAGATATGTAATTATGCTAACTATACTATATAGTTAATGTATGTTCAGTGCCACTATTACTATATGCAGGTTACATTTTGGCTTTAGTGAACCTGGGGAAGCCAGTTTCATCTACCAGGTTAATCAATTGAGGTTCAAGGTATGCTCACTTTGGGCTGACCTTTAGCTACTGTAGTTGCAGCTTCTCAGGCAACAATTTCTACTCCTGCCCCTATCAAGGAGCACATCTATGAATGCAAAAACCCCACCACTGGCAGGGATACCCTTGAAGGCATTGCATTTAATGAACAGATAGAAATTGCTTGCGGAATTTCCTCACACAGCCCCATCAGATAATAATCTTACTTCAAATATTCCATCTCCAAATACTTGGGAACACACCTGCTTCTAGCTCTGGGGAGATGCTGTGGAATCATAGCAGATTTATGCCTCTTGTGTCCCCCTGTGAAGAGTTAACGGGGAACATGTAGTTCATACCACTGCAGTGGATCTACACACAATGGCAAGATTCCCATCTTCAGGTTGAATTCTGAATTGCCATTGTCTTTCTGTGAATTA